TATGTTTTCATTTAGTTTCACGTGGTCTAGATTCTCAAAAGGTATTCTCATCGAGGGTAGACAGTAGCTTTGTCTTCGCCTCCTCAACACCCCGAGTTGCGAAAATCAGCTCAAACAATTTCTATACAACGAAATGAGACTACGACCACAGAAAATATCACACCATCTTGGAATTCATATATTCTATTACTCTTTTTTTGGTTATAAGAATACTTTCGGATGAGAATAGTTTATGGTAAAGCTAAGTTGTGTGACACTTAATGGAAACGTGTGGTCTACTCTTAGGATTGTGAAAAAAATGAACTAGCCATCCTTCATTAGCTAAGACAAAATTGGTTGAAAAAAACACATACATTCGATTTTATAATATATATATCGGATTTAACACGAAAATGAATTGGTTTACGATTGTAAAACCTTTGATTATACGTTTTACGTATATAAAATGCTATCTGTTGTCCTCATTAGTTATCATATTTGTTTATTTAAGTTCTTGAAACATAATTTCGTATTTTTAAACTTGTGATGTATACACACACCAGCTTGCTGGCCTCTATCTTCGTCGGTTTGATGTTTTGTTTGGCTCCAATTCACACGCAGTCCACTAGCCTCTAAGCTCACGCCTCGATCGGATTCACATGCGGTGTAGGCAGCCGATGCACTCTTCTCGTTACCACCACCTCCTCGCATGTGAATCCTTGTCCGAAAGCCGTCTTCTGCTCTGACCGCACACCTCGTCTTCCGGCCTCAGGCCGTGGCGTGGGAGCAGTCCGACTCCGGCGAAGTGCAGAACAGCATAAAACCGCATCGACGAGGCGACGCAAGCGGAAGACACGAGAAATGGCGTCAACATCGTTTCTGTTGTCCAAGCAACGGGTGTTCGGGCCTCGAGCCGGTGCGCGAGAGCCGGGCGGTAAGCCGATCTCGCCGACGCCCGACAGAGCCGACGGTTGCGCGGAAGCGCTGACGCAGACGAGTCCCTTTCGGCGGCAATTGTGGCCACGAGGTCGGACGCCGCGGGTCGACGAGGAGGCCGAAGCGGCGGCGAGTCGAGAAGGCCTCCTGTTGCCGTCGATTCAGGCGAAACAGTTCTCCAACTACGCGACTCGAACGACACCAGCCTCGACGACGGGTTGCGCCGAGTCGGGGCCGAGAGGAGGTGGCGGCGGACGCGCCTACCGGACGGCAACGAGCGAGGCGGTCGTCGGCGCAAGGAGTAGTCGTGCCTCGGAGCATTCGATGGTGTCGCGTCGCAGCCTGTCCGGCATGTCGAGGCCCGGTTACCTGACGCATGACAACGATCGCAGACGGCGACACTACACCGCCATCAACACACTCAAAGGGGCTCTATGCTCGGCCAAGACGAAGCGGCGCTGATGGAAGGTCAACAACAGACGGTCACGCATCAGTTTTGGTACAATGGCCTATTTAACAAATGTAAAGTATGCACAGTTTGCAACAAAAAACATTCTTCATTTGGTCGTCATCTGAGTTGGAATGAAATAAATCGACGAAAGCACAAGAGAAAGAGAGACAGAGAATAAAATGTGTCGAGAAAGCTGGTACCAGATCAGAGGATCATTTGATGCGAGTTGAGCATGATTCATGTCATTATCTTTCGGGTTTCGACGAATTATAGGTCCTCCCATACATTTCCAATTAACAATCTTGAGGTCCATCAGGTTGAGCAAGTTATGCTCTTCAAGAGTAGAAGTCGAAACTTTTGCCAAAAAATGCGGTTAAGCAAATGTCGGTCGCGCAACTTCAATGAATTAAGGATTAATAGTCGATTTGTATAACTAATTAAGAAAAGAGCCGTTTGCGAGGATACGGATTAAGGACTGTTTTATGCCAATTCCTCTT